AACAAAATTCACCATCCTAATTTTGTACAATTCAGTATTTCTTAGAATATTCACAATGTTTTGCAACCAGTACCATTATCTAATTCTAGAACATTTTCATCATCTAAGAAAAGTCCCTGTTACCCATTAAGCAGTCACTTCCCATTGCCCCTTTCCCTCTGCCCCTGGCAACCACTAATCTTCTATACTTTCTGTCTCTATGGATTTGCCTATTCTGGGTGTTTCATACAAATAGAATCATAAAACACATGACTTTCATGTCTGGCTTCTTAGTGCAATATTGTCAAGTTTCAACCATATTAGAGCATGAATTAGTGTCATTTCTTTTTATAGCTGAATAATACTCTGTTGTACTGATATGTCATACTTGTTTTTTCATTCATAAGTTGATAGACATTTGGATTGTTTCTACCCTTTGGTTATTAAAAATAATGCTGTTATAAACATTCATAAACAAGTTTCTGTGTGGAAATATATTTTAATTTCTCTTAGGAATTTACCTAAGAGTAGAATTGCTAGATACATAATATTTCTGTGTTTAATTTTTTGAGCAGGTAACAAACCATTTTCCATGATAGTTTCCCCATTTTATATTCCCACTAAGAGTGTATGAGGGTTCTAATTTTTCCACATCATTCTAAGAGTTGTTATTTCTTCACCCTGTCTTTTTCCAATTATAGCCTTCCTGATGTAAAATGATATCTCATTATAGTTTTGATTCATATTTCCCTATTGACTGATGTTATTGGGCATCTTTTCACGTGCTTATCGGTATAGCCTCTTCTTATTATTTTTTGTTAATCATTTCTGTTTGATAAGTCCCTGTTTTATGGATAGTTCTATGATACAGGCCCACCTGAGATTACTCACATTGCAGGAGAGAAAGGAGACCTCTAAACTGGCAGGCAGCTCAGTAAGATAAGAGACTATAAAGAAAATATGTACAGTTTGCAATAGAGTTTGTCAAGCAGGAAAGGAAGGAGGAAAGCTTTCAGGTGGATTGAAGAGTGAGGAGCCTAGGGTAGAGCGGGTACAGATGAAGTTTCCTGACCTCACTTGTCATCAGGTGAAGAGCAGGGCACCCTCCCAAGCAAGGCAGTGAGTTAGGACACTAATTCCAGAAGCAAGCCTACCTCACACCTCAAGCCAGCAGGCAGTGCCTGCTGAGCTCTGTCACCCCATGCTTTTTAGCACAGGGTTCTGTTGTTTCCAAGGCACATTTGCTGAGCTGTTTTGATCCCCTGATGGAAGTATCACCACTTCTAAAAAAGAGAAAAATAATACCCAAGGAGATAGAAGCTTGCCTAATTCTATGAAGTGGCAACACTGGACTTGGACCCCAGGTTGTCTGACTCCTGGTTCTTTCCATATTGCTGCAGACTGAACCTTAATTCTTCTTAAATCAAGGCTATTTTTTTGCCTCTGGCCCCAACCACCTCATCTTCCTTCCTCATCTTGCCCCCAGCCTATAACTAACCATCTTTTCCGACTTAGTCTAAATATCTCTCCAACTTTTCCTCTTATGGCTTCTATTCTTTTCCTTCTTGGGTGGTCTGCATTTTTACTCTCCTTAAATGGTTATCCTTTTATGTTTACTAACTCTGCAAGTTTAAGTGCCAACTCTTCAGCTGCTCAAGTTCTTAATGTATAGAATTGATCATCTTTATAGCATTCTGGCAATTTAAGAATTATTTACTTCAGGTCACAAATGAGAAAACAACCTCAGAAAAGTAACTGACCTAAGTTTGTGTAGCAGGTAAGGAATCTATCACAAATGCTACCTCCTTTCAAAGCCTTATGGTTACACTGATTGAGCTGGTTTCTCTTACTCCAGAAACTGTATAGCAGTTACTCTTCCATATTCAAGATAGCATTAAAGATATTGGGTTATCTTATAATGGATCCTTTTCTTGTGTCCTCATCTGGATGCTCATTTATCAGTGTTCCCAGGGCCAGGCCTTGACTTTGCAGAATGCACATTCTCAGAAAATGTTAAGGTAATGCACAGAGGAAAAACGTTGCACCTGGGTTACGTGGTCAAGGCTTTGGTGTTTTCATGTTATGACACTACCTTCCATGACCTTGCATAATGGTGAGCTTTCTAAGGTGGGGACCCTGCTTCTCCATGCTTATCCCTGGGCCTAGTAGCTGCGTGGATGGATGCATAGACATCACCATTTGGAACCTCACTTTCCTCATCTGCATTTTCAGACATTTAAATGAAAAGATCTGAAGACTGTTTCCTATTTAAATATTACCTACTTTTGTGGGTCTGAATGACTGCTTCTCTGCACAAACTCCATACCATTATGGAGCCAAAAAAATTCAGCTCAAGATGACAGAGTATGGCTTGGCATTTCCACTTTGGTGGTTGTGTCTCAAACCATCATCTTTGAACTTGTCAAATTGAAGACTAACTCAGAAGCTTTGCCCCAAACACTGTCAGAGGTCCTAATGCCACCTCTCATCTGATTGATCTCTCTCTGTGTCTCTGTCTCTGTCTCTCTCTATGTCTCTGTCTCTCTTTTTATCTTTGTCTCTTTCCCCTTCCCGCTCCCTTTCAGTTCCTTCTCCCCACTCCACATATCTGTGAATGAGCACACATTCACTCCCTGGTAGAATAATATCATTTGCAGTGCTTCCTTTAGGTTTTACATGTTAACAGCTTTTTGCCTTAGAGTCAACAGTGCTTTATAAGAGGGAAGCTATTGCTTTTTCAGAAATATACAAGTCCTCCCTGTGGTTCATGCCTAACCCATTGGGTGTATTTTATAGGCACAAAGAGAACAGGTCATTCTTGTGAAAATAGAACCCGATGATTACTCCTCTGCCCAGCAGGAAGGGCCATTTTCATCAGCAGGAGACTGTTAACAAATACCATGTTTTCTTTTCTCTGGACATTTCCTTTATACCCTATAACCATACCCTATTTCTTGGTTTTTTTAAAGTTAGATTTTTGTCTGCCTTATGCTGGAATAAAATGATTCAGGCATACTGATAATGCCAATTTTATTGTCCCACTCACAAAGTGCCTAGTGTGCCAGGCATAGTTTGGTGAGTTGTGTGACTTATTGCTTTCATCCCCACAACTCCCGTTACAGAGAAAAGACTTGATCTCAGATACACTGTATCCTTGCTCATCTATCTTCCCCCTGTAGAGGAAGACCTAGGGGTCATACTCATGTCTTTCTCATAGTACTACAGTCCTACTTCTAACCAGTTGGGGCTCCATTCAAAGACCATCGGGAAGACTTAGCATTTGAGTACTGTTAAAAACATCTGTTGCTTTATAAGTGTCTCAGTTACTTTTCCCATTGCTGAGAAAAAATCTGACACCCGCAGCTAAAGGAGAAAAGGTTTATTTTGGCCCACTTCATAGAGATTTCAGTCTATAATTGGCTGGTTCCAAGGCAAGGTGGCATAGCAGAGGGGCATCATAGAGAAGAAACAGTTCATGACAGACAGAAGACAACCAAAGCAGCAAGCAAGAAGCAGCATCCCTCTTTCTGTCCCTTATATTACATCTTTACCCTTAGAGTAGGTAGCACTCACACTCAGAGTGGGGCAACCTTAATCCTACCCAGAACTATGCCAAACCAATCAGTGGACTAATTTAGTAATCATACACCCTTGGTCCCAGCATCACACACTCCAGAACTAGCCACTTCCAAAAAGCACCACCTATGACTACATGAGGCTTTGGGGGGACATCAAGACACAAGCCATAATGATAAGCATCATTCTCAACTTTACTAACAAGTTATGAGGAGAGAAGAGCCTAACTTGGGAGAGGCATAATAACATGTTTATCACATGCACCTATGTGCACAAATGCACGCACACATGCACCTTCCTACACACAAAGACCCTTGGAGACTGAATTTAAATAGTGCTTGGCCATGTGCCATATCATACATTGAACAACATTATAGAGAATGCATTTAACATATCCTAATGGAGAGGAAAGAAACAGTAGTGCCCCAAGCCTCATTTCAGTCCCATGGTATAAACAATTTTACCACAAGGGACCACTTCCATGATGGATTTAAATTTTAACCTCTGAGCCTTCTGCTTGAACTTTTACTGTTGGTATGTCCAATGAGCGATAGATCTGGGAAGTACAGTTTGAAATCTGTATGGAAACAAAACCAAAACTCTCTTAGATTCTCAGGTGGAGTTTAAGAAATAAAAAAGTGAGGAGAAATAATATCCTTTTGTATTTGAGCAGCACTTTACAGTTTGTAACATACTCAGATCTGTTGTGAGTGCACAGAAGTGCAAGTTGCCAGAGGTCTTGTTCCCACTCATGGCTCTTCCTCTCACTCACATCTTGGGTAGTCTCTCACAACCTCTAGATTTGAGTTTCTTCATCTGTGAAAGAGAGTTAGACTAGTTGGTCACCCAACTTTGTCATTCTGGGTTTTGATACTATTAAAAAGGCCATAAGTGTTACTTGTTACCCTTCTCATAAGCTGCCTTTCCTCACCCTATCTTGTGCCAGGGCTGAGGGGAGTTCTGTGCCCTTTCAACTTAGGTCTCACCTGCTAAAGAGATACTGTGCCTCTCATGGCTGCTGGTATCGGAGCTGGCAGAAACCCAACAAGTTCTTCTGGGAAAATACTTGCCTTAGAAATACCATAGTTATTAAAGTTCATGTGCCAGTTAAGTTCAAACCAGATGGCAGTGTAGGGCTATTCCAGTTCTGAGATTCTAGAATTCCATAAAAGGCTACCCTTTAAAGAGATAGCTTTAGAGAAACCCCAAAGCAGATTGATTGGATGCTTTGTCAACTCTGTGTGCAGTGGTTTTAGCAAACACTCTTGAGCCTCCAGTTAGATGTGCAATGCTCCTTTTAGGATCCCTGGCCACAGGATGGAGCAGGTTTGTTTGCCTTTCCTGTTTAGCTGGTCTGGCCTCAATTATTTTCTAGAATTTGAAGTTGGGGGAGTTTTGAGCATTTGGACTCATAATCAACCTTATTCTCTTGATATACATTTTAGAAGACAAATCTGACCTTGAAAATAGTGTGATGCAGAAGAAAATAAAAATCCCCAAACTTTCTCTCAGTCACATAGAAGAAGATGGAGAGATTAAAGATTATGGGGAAGAAGATTTACAGCTTAGACACATCAAGGTAACAAAATGTTTGCTTTTCTTGGAAATATATGAGACAGTTTTTATATTTCTCATAGATAAAGAATTCTAGTCTGGCCTCCTTCCCCTTGTAAATGTACCCTGATGTCACAGGCCATGATTTTTTCGGGGTAGAAAAAGTTTGGGACAATGAATGTGTATTTGCCTCATTGGCCTACTTTCCAGGGAGCCCTGATTCATGCTGTGCCACTAAGCATAGTCCTGTCTGCACAGTCTGTGCAGGATCATCGCCGCTGGGGGTTTGGAACAATGTGTTTGTCCCTGGCCCACAGCTCTGGAGAGGTCACTGAGTTCCAGTTAAGCAGCTGTTGCTCTTGAGCAGCAGTTTAAAGCTAGTCACTATTAGATTGCCCCCAAACAGCCAAGGCTGGACTCACTGAGGAAAGATGTCAGTGACGGCCACAGAGAGCATTTGTGGCTTCCTGGGTTGGGTGAAAACTTTTACATGATGCTGCATTTCTTGCTGTGTGGCCTAGTTGGTCTCCAGCCTTTGCTTTGAAAATCTACTAGAGATCTTATTCTGCAAGCTAGTTTGTGTTTGTTTGTTTGTTTTGGTGCAGTGCATATCCCGAAGGAAAGGAGAGAGAAAAGAAAAAAGAAGGATGACTTCTGTAGTGATTGTGATCTGATGTGGGACACAACACATGTTCCCAAAGTATAATTCAAAAGATGCAGTTGAATTCAATTAATGATATTTGCTCTTTCCTGGCCCAGTGCTGGCTCCTGGGGTCATGGAGATTAACCAGATATAGTTCATGTGTCCAGGGTCTCACAATATAGCAATACAGACAGATGTCTAAAGTGATCAGTATAGTTTTAGATGATTAATTCATCTACACTAGGAGCACTTATCCCAGCAGGTAAAATAACATAGGATGTTACCATGTTACTTAATCTCAGTGTTGTGGTTTTGTTTGTTTTCCTTTAATCGCCCCACACCAAGTGAGAGGTTAAGGCAAGCCTGACTTGACATACGACATAGTTAAATTGTCTAGAATCTTCTGTCCTTAGTTATCTGCACCTCCAACTAGTATCATCAGTCAAAAGAGCTTCTAAACCTCCTGCCCTGGTTGGAGAATTAAGTTGACCCTGTATCTCCTGTCACCCATCAGCAGAAGCTTTCTCCACTGTAGCTGGAATTTTCTCAGGCAGCTAAGTCTCTATCCCCTGGGTAGCCATGGGTAACTCTTCTCTAAATAAACTTTCTTCTCTTCATCCACTGTCTTACTATGGGAGAACCTGGTAGATGTGGGAGACGAAGCCATGGGCTGGAAGTTAGGACTTAAATTCTGATCCTGATCCTGATGTGTAACTCACCAAGAACTTGAGGATGGACCTTCCCCCATCGTGATCCTGTAAAGGGAGGGAAACTGAAAATTGAAAGTACCTTCCAATGGTAGCATTTTTGAAATTTTCAATTAAGTAAATGTTTATAAGGCTTCTGCCAAGTGTCAGTTTTGAGTGAGTGGACAGTGGATAAACAGAGAAAGAAAGGAATATTTATTGCTTTAGAGTTTTTAACATCTTTCCTAGTTAAAACATTCTTGAAAATATATACATGGTAGAATTCCTTTTTTTTTTTTTTTTTTT